AGAGAAAGGTATTAAATGAATAACCTCAATTTCCACCTTAAGAAACTAGAAAAAGAAGAACAAATTAAACTTAAAGCAGAAGAAAGAATTATAAAGGGTAAGTAAACACCAATGATGAGAAAAGAGAAAAACAGTAAAGAAAACTCAATGAAACCAAAAGCTGTTTTTTAAAGAAGATCCATAAAATTGATAAAGTTCTAACCAAACAGATCAGAGAAAAAAGGAGAAAAATACAAATTACCAATATGAAAAATGAGAGTGGTGGACATTACTACAGATTGTACACATAATTAAAAGGGGAAAGATTTAAGTGGTTTGAAGAGAAACCAGCGTATACACATAATTAAAAGAAGAATGATTCACTTCAGACAAAAGCAGTTATTACAATTATTTTTTAATTTATCTTCTCATATAATCTTGAGATTACATGAGCAACTAATGAGACAATATTATTCTCATTTCACAGATGATGAAATTTATTTCAGAGAGGTTAGATAATTTTCTTAAAGTCATATGTAAAATAAGTACCAAGAACTGAATTTAAAATCTAATCTGAACCTGCAGTCCACACTTGAAGCTACTATAATATCAAAAGTAGCATATAGGAGACAGGAAGAAATAAAAATGGAAAGGTAATTTGAGAAAAGATTGGAAACTAAGGTGTGTGGATTTCACTCTTGTAAGTAAATGGGGAATTACTGAAGATTTCTAAATACAAGGTTAAAAGTGCAAGAAGTATATGTTAACAAAATTAATCTGACTTGGGTTAATATGACCAGGTGGACAGAGAAGACATTGAAGCATGAGGCTACCGCCTCCTCCAGAGAAAGATTCTGACTTACAAACAGGGAACAGAAGGAAAAAGGTGAGAGCTCTCAGAACACTGTGGTGAAAGAATCAAGTCTTGATGATTCATCTAGATGTTCTGAGGAGGATATGAAGAAAGATTATAAAGCACCTGCGATGTCTGAGCTTGGAGAACGTTAATAATGGCAATATTATAACAAAAATGGAAACCATAGTGAGAAAAAAATATGTGGAAAGATGAGTGATGGCAGAAGGACATTAAGGTCAGAGGTTCACGGGGTTGTTAAAAAGCAGAACTGAAGTTCGTGAAAGAATCTAAAATTATCTTAATAAAGGAAGACATGAAATTAGATAAAATGTAAAGGGAGAAATATAGAATAGAAAACAAAGAATATCAAGGACAGAGTTTTGGAGGATGAATATATTTAGAGGCTAGGGAGATAAGCCAGAAAAACAATAGAAAGAACACAGCCTGGGGACTCAGAATGCCTGGAGTTTAGTTAAAAGCTCCACCAGATTACTTGCCATTTGACTTGGTACAGTGTACTCAACCTTCTTAGATAACTAATGCTAACTCATATCTGTGTTAGAATCTTGCCCATGTTACATGCATTAATATATTAATCACCAAACAATGCTAGCTCATCCATTATACAGATGAGAAAACTGAGGATTAGAAAAGAAACTTCTCCATGGTCATGTGGATAATAACACTAACAGGATAATAAAAATAGTAATGATTTTTATATAGCTGTTTAGATTAAATGAGGGATTTTATATGCATACTTTTGAACAATGCCTGGAACAATGTCAATAAGTATTATTTTTATTGTAGTTGCTACTATTACTAGGTCAATAAGTGCAACCTAATGCTATAGACAGTACAAAGTTTTGGTTTCAAAAGGAGAAACCAAAAATACCAAATACAATGGGTGTTGGTGTTAGGGCCTATGTCTAAGACACTGCTTGCTGTGCCAGAATGTTGCTCTAAGGGTCTCACAGAAAAGTGATGTCACAGAGAATAAGCACGCTTATTGAAATTGTGTTTTAAATAAAGGTGACCATCTGCTCGCTGAGGCAAAATGGCCAGCTTCTTTATTTGCAATTGGTTTATATAGGGAATTTTGTACATGTGCACAATACAGCTATGATCTCATTGATCCATTTAAACATCATGTGACTACCTCCAGATTAGCTTCCGATAATCCACTCAACATGAACCTTTTGACACAACCCTTGCAACATAACCCAATTTAACATAACTTAATGGAGAACATGTTGTCAGCCATTACTTTCTTTGTTCTTATCTGATGAAGCCTGAGGCCATGGAGGAACAAGGTAGATTGAATACCTGCCCTTGCTGGCCTTGCCATCTGGAGGCTGTTACTTTGAATCTTTAAGCAAGGCATAAAGAAACTTCTTAGGCATACAGAAATTTGTGTGCAAACCTCTGCTCCCATGTAGGCCTTAAGTTGGGGGTTTTTGCTGGAATCTTTTATGAGGAATTTTCAGGCTGGACTTCTCAAAAGCCTTTCATGAGCCCAAGTTTCATCTGTGCCATTAGATCCCTGTACACATTGGGTAAATTCCTCTTCTCTTGAGGTCCCCTAGCACATTTCCATTCCCGGACCCGTCAGCAAGACACCTTCATCACTGACCACAGATCAGGAAAAGCTATTAATGGGTATCTGGCCAGTTTTCCAAAGGGCTTTTTCATTGGCCTTATAAAGTCAACCTTAAGTCCTTAAGACAATCTATTCCAGCCAAAGCCTTGGTCATGTTAGGCTTGCAACTAACCTGGCCACATGGGATTCTGCCTCAGTTTCTCACAAGTATGCCTGCTCAAAGTCTTTTCACTGCTCTCTCTCAAACGGCTTTTTTGGCCAGAGGCATGTAGGCATTTCGCCTATAAATGGGCAGATCAAAGAAGAGAAATGGAAGGAAGTTATGGGGCCTTGGAACCAGAGGGGATCTTGTTGAGTGGCCTCACCAGGCTGCAGGTGGTGAGGACGAAGCAAGGTCAGAAAGTAAAAGGAATGAGGAGGCTACTCCTGGGGAAGTCTGTGCCAGAAAGACAATGACAGGACAGAGCTTGGGACAGTAACAGTGTGAAGGAACTTAGTTTTAAACGGGCCAACAACTATCTTTATAGTTTAAGAAGAAAAGATCAAGAGAGGACATTACTAAAACAAGATTGATCATGGAATAGGGAATGGGTGTGAAAAGATGAGCTCACAGGTAAAGGGGGAACGACCCCAGCAGTGTCAGATATTCTTACATTTCATGGAAAAAAGGAAGAAAGAGTAAATAAACGTAAATAATAAGAAATACTATGGGGCAACAAAGAACAGAATATACAACTGTTCACAGCAGATTGATTCAGATTCAATCTGTAGATGAGGAAGAAGATTCATGGCAGGTTGGGTTTTCTATGACTACATTTACGTTAACAGAAACAAACTTTAATGCAACATTCACAATGATAAGAGCCCCTGTGTGCCAGCAAGAAAGGAGACAAAATTTATTCTGTTTATGCATAATGACTCTGAAAAATAAGACATAGATATTTGTAGGTATAATCCAGAATTTGAGAAATTAAGACAGTCTTTGACTGAATTTGTAACATCTTATAAAGACAGATGACTCTGACACTTGAGCTCTTAACAATTAACATATAGGGGGCGAGAAATGGTTCTTGAAATAACAGTAAAAAAAACTTTACCTTTTAACAATAATGGATTTTTGCAGATTATTTCTTGATAGATCTTTAAATCAATTAGCTCAAAAGGTTCAACCTGAGTGCTTTAAAAATGAATCACTTTTACCAGTTTGAGTAGTAAATTTCTTCTTTAATTAAAAATATTTTTTTCACTTTAATTTTTAATACTTTAGGTCAGGTGTGGTGAGTCACACCTGTAATCCTAGCACTCTGGGAGGCCGACATAGGTGGATTGCTTGAGCTCAGGAGTTTGAGACCAGCTTGAGCAAGAGTGAGACCCTGTCTCTTCTAAAAATAGAAAAACTGCTGGGCATTGTGGTGGGTTCCTGTAGTCCCAGCTACATGGGAGAGGCTGAGGCAAGCTCAAGAGTCTAAGGTTTGCAGTGAGCTATGATGCCATTGTATTCTACCCAGGGTGACAGAGTGAGACTCCATCTCAAAAAAAAAAAAAAAAAAAAAGCTTAAATAGCCGGGCATTGTGGCGGGTGCCTAAAGTCCTAGCTACTTGGGAGGCTGAGGCAAGAAAATTGCTTAGGCCCAAGAGTTTGAGGTTGTTGTGAACTATGACACCACACTCTACTGAGGGTGACATAGTAAGACTCTGTCTCAAAAAAAAAAAAAAAAAAAGTGGCGGCACCTGTGCTCAGTGAGTAGGGCACTGGCGGCATATGCCAAGGGTGGCGGGTTTGAACCTGACCCCAGCCAGCTAAAACAGCAGTGATAACTGCAACAAAAAATAGCCAGGCGTTGCAGTGGGTGCCTGGAGTCCCAGCTGCTCTGGAGGCTGAGGCAAGAGAATCGCTCAAGCCCAAGAGTTGGAGGTTGCTGTGAGCTGTGATGCCAAGGCATTCTACCGAGGGAGACATAGTGAGACTCTGTCTCAAAAAAAAAAAAAGAAAAATGCTTTTAATTTTAGTATCTATCCTCTGCTAACCCATATCCAAAAATATGAACTAAGTTTGAAACATCAAAAACTGGGTCAGCTCCTGTGGCTCAGTGAGTAGGGCACTGGCCCCATATACCAAGGGTGGCGGGTTCAAACCCGGCTTTAGCCAAAATGCAACAACAACAACAAAAAATAGCCAGACGCTGTGGTGGGTGCCTGTGGTTCCAGCTACTTCGGAGGTTGAAGCAAGAAAATTGCCTAAGCCCCAGAGCTGGAGGTTGCTGTGAGCTGTGACAGCACAGCATTCTAATGAGGGTAACAAAGTGAGACTCTGTCTCTAAAAAAAAAAAAAGAAAAAGAAAAAAAGAAAAATCAAAAACTATTTTAATACAGTATCAACTCCTCAACTTAAAATAACCTAAAATAATAAGGGAAGGTGAAAATTATATGATAGAACTTATGTTAAAGATTACAGGTTCCAAATTTTACTGGGATACCTGAGATATCTAGGGGATACAAAAACAAATTTTAAGGACATTTTATTTATCTAATATCTAATAAATTAATTACATGCCCCCAATGACTTACCTCTCAAGATGAACATAATGTCGAGAAAGAACATTTTTAACCAAAAATATAGTCTTTGCACTAGTTTCTGGACCCATCATTCGGGAAAAATATAATTTTGCACGAAGAAAATACCCAACAGGCCACAGCCACTCCTAAAAAAAGATTTAAAAGAAAAGATAAAAAAAAACTATGAATATCCAAACTTACTAGAAAAATAATTTAAACTAAAAACTTAGTTTAATTTCTTAGAAGAAATTAAATTCTTACAGGTCCTTGGTGATAATTGAAACCTTTAGCAAGATTATAGTTGTCATCGTCTAAGGCGTTGTCATAAACTCCACAGTAAACCATATCACTGAAAAACGATTGAAATTTAAGTCAAATAAAAGATCAGACATTACATAGAAAGATAAGAGAAATAATTAAATTATTTTGCCATCCAATCTACAGAATAAGCATGGCATTAGTCCATGATCCTTTTAACCTTCAACTAATATATACTGAGTTCGGAGGACTTTAACAATGTATCACAGAATGATTAACAAATACTGTGTAATGCAAAAAACATAAAATAATCAGGTATTTTGCTTTCAAGGAGTTAGCCAGCTACTAAATATTGGTTGGTTTAAAGTCAACTATTTCACTAGATCTTGAATATATGTATAATAATTAAAATATACATAGGATAATTTGAATTAATGAACATGCTTCTCCACAGTTATTTTAAAATTAAAATTGGCATATTATCAGATTATAAGCAGCAACTTTGATATACACATTGCTATAATACAGAGAATTTGTAATATGCTTACAAACTTATTACAATGGTAATACAAGACAATTAGCTATACACCATTTACTTAAATTGATACTTTCTTTATTTCATTTTTTTTTTAGTGAAGTAGAACTGGCTGCATGAATAAGCTTATCTGTAGGTTTTAGTTTTGACCAGTGGTTCTTTTTTTTTTTTTTTTTAAGACAGAGTTTCACTACTTTGCCCTCAGTAGAGTGCTGTGCTGTCACAGCTCACAGCAACCTCAACTCTTGGGCTTAAGTGATTCTCTTACTTCTGCCTATCAAGTAGCTTTGACTACAGGTGCATGCCACAATGCCCAGCTATTTTTTTTGTTGTAGTTGTCATTGTTGTTTAATAGGCCCGGTGGGGTATGAACCTGCCAGCCTCAGTGTATGTGGCTGGTGCCCTAACCACCTAGCTATGGGCGCTGAGCCTGACCAGTGGTTCTTAACTCCTCTTGCAAATGTGGGGAACACCTGAGAATGTAGATAAGAATAATATACAAAATTTTGCATCTCGAGACTGAAATATATACATAGTAAACTAGAAAAAGGCTAAAAAGGGGAGGGGGTGTTGATACAGAAAAAATTGATGATGACTATCAAGCTTTAAGGAAAAATAGTTGAAGAAAAACAGAAAGGTCATTAAAAACTCAAGAAAAAACAGAAGATAGAAAAGATGAGAAATATGTCATAAACACATTTATAAGGTAAAAATAAAATTATTTACTGATTTAAGTAAAAAGTCACATAATTGCATAGAAAAGATGGAGAGGATTGGTGGTAAGAACAGAATTAATACCTGTCATTACGAAAAGTAAATAATGCCTAATATTTTAAAAAATAATGAAATAGCTACATATACATATTTAGAAATATGGAAGGAACTGCTAGAAGAAACAGTTTACAAATTCTCCTAGGTAGCATGTACGGTCCAAATTTATACAAACATGCATATAAAAGACTGGGTGGACTTGGTGCCTGTAGCCCAGTGGTTAGGGCATTGGCCACATGCACAGGGGCTAGTGGGTTCGAACCCAGCCCCGGCTTGCTAGACAACAATGACAACAATAACAACCAAAAATAGCCAGTGTTATAGTGGGCGCCTGTAGTCCCAGCTACTTGGAAGGCTGAGGCAAGAGAATCACTTAAGCCCAAGAGTTTGAGGTTGCTGTGAGCTGTGATGCCACAGCACTCTACTGAGGGTGACACAGTGAGTATCTGTCTCAAAAAAAAAAAAAAAGACTGGGCAGTAGGCAAGATAATAAGTAACAATGCTTATCTACAGATGAAGAGATGTTAAAAACTCTTACTTTTTAAAAGAAAACATAAATCTGTACTATGCGATGTATACAATTATCATGTATTACTTTTATAATCAGAAGAAATAGGTATGAGAAAATATTAATGACATACTGGTTTTATAAATGTAAAACATTTTCATTGATTATTAAATACAGAACAAGCTAAAAGCATTTTGAATACTGACACTTCATGAAGATACAGAAGTTGTTTTTAAAAACTCAGTTTCATGCAATTTTTAGGGGGCAGGGTGAGGGAGACAGAGCCTTAAACTGTTGCTCTCAGTAGAGCGCTGTGGCATCACAGTTCACAGCAACCTCCAACTCTTGGCCTTAAGCAATTCTCTTGCCTCAGCCTCCCAAGTAGCTAGGATTACAGGCACCCACCACAACGCCAGGCTATTTTTTTTTTTTGGTCATAGTTGTCATTGTTGTTTGGCAGTCCTGAGCTGAACCTGCCAGCTCTGGTGTATGTGGCTGGCGCCTTAGCAGCTTGAGCTATGGGGGCTGAGCCAGTGTGATGCAATTTTAGAGATGTTATTGGTAAACAAAAAAATTATGGTTGATGTCAATGTATTTGGATTCAGTATAATTTTAACAACATTCTTAATACTTAATACTCCAACTTACTCTGGATCTAAAGTTTTCATACCAAGGGGACCAAGCAATTTTTTCTCTGCAATCTCCAAAGCTTTCCAGGCTTTTTCTACAGTAAAGAGCTCAGGGGCCTAATGAATGTCAAAAACAAATATACAAATGTTTCAGGTCACAGAAGAATTAGTTCCCATCCACACAAACTATTCATAAACTTGGAAAAAAATAAAATTATTTAAAAATCCACTGTGGGTCAGAATGTGAGTGCAGACGCCTAACCAGATCTAATCCTATGAGACTGACTTGGAAGTACTGTTCTTGGCCTTAGAAGCTAGGAAAGCTCACAGAGGTCACTTCAAGAAAGCAACCCAGCTCTATAGGAAGTGACTGTAATTACAGTGAAGGCAGAATATACCTAAACTTATCTAATTCATTCTTCAGGAGATTTACAATTCTTATTTCTGGTACCTATTTTTTGCTCCTAGGGTCATAATAAGATACAGAAGAACTTGGTCAACAAGTAGTCACTTACAAGGGTAAATTTACTTGTGATGTGGAGAAGAAGGAGCAAAAGCTTTGCTGACCGAGGATCTTGGATTCATTTTAACTGTTAAATGAAATCAAGTGTGTATGAACTGAAGCTACCTTTGTGTGCTTTTGCATTTTTTATTCTAACATAATTTATAGTTCTGTGTTCAGTGTTCCTCTGAACAATGTGAAAACAGTGAGGCCGGCATGGGAAAACAGAGACCTTCTCTATTTTATTGCCCTTGAAGTTCACTGTTTTTTTTTTTTTTTTTTTTTTTTTTGAGACAGAGCCTCAAGCTGTCCCCCTGGGTAGAGTGCTATGGCATCACAGCTCACAGCAACCTCCAACTCCTGGGCTCAAGCAAGTCTCCTGCCTCAGGCTCCAAGTAGCTGGGACCACAGGCGCCTGCCACAACACTGGGCTATTTTTTGGTTGCAGCCGTCACTGTTGTTTGGTGGGTGGGCTGGATTTGAACCCATCACTTGGGTGTACGTGGCTGGTGCCTTAGCCACTTGAGCCACAGGCGCCAAGCCGAAGTTTACTGTTAAAGTACAGATAAAAAATGAGAGCATCTAGAATTCTTGACTAGATAGAACTAACTACAGTAATACTACAAATAAAATAGAATGTGAATCTATGGTATCCACTTTAATCCACTAGTTCAGAGCTGTCCATCTAGTGCTGAGGTTCTGTTTCCAAATACAGACACCCCAGCTCTCAGGGAAGTTGGGTGAGGCCCGGGCCAGATGAGGCTGCTAGATCTGGTACAAGCAGCCTCGTCAACTTAGCCCAGCATGCTGTACAAATATCATTTTCTAAGCGTTCTATCACGTGAAAAATCATTGGGAAACACTTCATTAGTTATTATCCACTATCTTCTTTTTTTTGATACCGTAACATTATAGGTTAAAGGTGATATGCTCAATACTTTGTTAATTAGAAAAGACTATATAAAGCTAGCTAGTAAGCAATATGCTACTTTTAAATCATTATGTGAATTTGAAAACAAATGGGAATAAACAACTCAGGAAAGTCTATCATAACATTTTGTGAAATTTAAAATTAGCAAACAAACCACGTACCACGACCATTGCTATGGTAAAATTAGGCCTTAGCTGGTAGTCACACCAGGGACAGGAAGCGCCGTAACTGTCTTTGTATATGCCACGCTTGTGAACCAGATCTGGGTGCTTTTCAATTGAATCTGAGGGGTCTTCTGAAACATGAAATAGCTTTTCAAAGTTGTCTTGTATTTTTCTGTTCCATTCATCATATGAGACCGTTACTTGTTTTCCTGAAAAATAAACATTCAAAGCAATTTACATATCCAGTTACAGCCAAAGAATTATATTTAATTAACTTATTTTTATCTACTAGAAGGCAATTAATTACTTTTTAAAATGTAGCACAGTTGAATTGAGATGTGCTATAAATGTAAACTATACACTAGATTTCAAGGACTTAGTACCCCAAAAGAATGTAAAATAGATCATGACTCATTTCATATTATGTGTTGACATAATGTTGTACATACATTGAGTTAAACATAATTAATTGCATGTGTTTCTTTTTACTTTTAAATGTGGAAACTAGAAAATTTTAAAATTATGTGTGTGATTCATACTATTCTAGGAAAAGAGATATAAAGAAAAAAAGAGATGTAGAGACTTTAAAACTGCTTATGGAAGTACAATTTGCTCACAGTAATACTGAGGAAAAAGAAAAGTACAATACAGGCCACAGCTATGATGCTTTTCTTATTTCAGTTCAAAGTTGCTATAAAAATGTAGTTAGAAACCAGATGTTACAATTTTTCATATTAGTAAATTAATGATTCTTCTTTCCTTTTAATTTCTAATATTAGCTGATTAAATCAAATGATGATTCTATAGGCTGGAAATATAGACAGGACATCTGAAGTTTCTTTGTAAGTAAAATGAACAGCATACCATGTCTTTTAACTGTGACTTCATGATAAGGGAAAATGTTTTTTCTGGATAATTCGAGCAACCAACGAACAGCAGATTTACTCAGGCCCACAATTTCCACAGCAGACCCATCTCTATAATTAAAAAATAAATTTTATTCTCTAAGTTAGAGTCATTTACGCATTAGAGTGAATTCAGTAAACAATTTTGATGAATCATGTAACTATTATATAACAAAAACAACATTCTCTCAAAATCACCCTCATTTTATAAGAATGCATATTGTACCAGTCCGGGTACAGTGGTTCACACCTGTAATCCTGGTATCTGGAAGGCTGAGGGGGAAGACTGCTTGAGGTCAGGAGTTTGACACCAGCCTGAGCAAGAGTGAGACCCCCATATCTACTAACAATGCAAAAATTAGCTGGGTGTCCTGGTGTGTGCCTGTAGTCGCACATACTTGGGCGGCTGAGGCAAAAATGATCACTTAAGCTGAGGAGGTTGAGGCTACTGCAAACTATGACGCTTACTACGTGTTTATAGAGAATCAACTCTACCCATGAGAACTTCCAGGAGAGAACACAGAGCTCTGTATAAATGAGGGAGAGGGAGAGATGAGTGAAAGTGGGAAGAGGATGACATTGTGATTTAATATGATGTCTTGGCTAATAGAATAAACGTTCTCATAAGCATGTGTTTTTTAAAGGGGTGTAATTACACGAATGCTATAACATGAATATTACCTTGGTGTGGCTGGGATTCCTCTGTTTCTAGCTCGGTCACTTTCTCCCATTTTATCCATCCATGTGCCACAATTAAAGCGATTTCCACCATAAATAAATCCTGTTTCTTCATCAACCCCTGCAGTTATATTAAACCCTAAAAAATTAAAATATGTATGAAATAAAATGTTTTAAAGTATATGGTAAATATAATAGATAAGAATAAATATTTTTATTTAGAACATTTATAAAACTTTAAAGGAATGCAATAAACTCTGGACAAACCTTTGTTTATGTGGCATGGAGATGTGTACAAGGATTATTTATTGCTATGGTGCTTGTATTAACAAAAAAATAAACAACTGCTCAGTGGAAGAATGGATGAACACTGTGGTTTATTCATATAATGGGAAACTCTCTATACCATTTAAAATTAATGAATAGGATTTACATGTATCAAATTTCCAAAACAGGATGACAGAGTAGAAAAGATACCTTTTTTAATAAAGTTTAGTTATAGATAATACTAATATGTATCACAATGTATGTATATACGGCTAGGTCTAGTATATTTGTGTAGGATTTTAAAACATAAATTCATAATATATAGTATACATATTATGTTACAGTACACTGAATATGAACTATATGATATAGAGGTAATTTACACATATGCAAACACACACACACACAGAAAGTACAAAAACTTCTGGTTATGGACAAAGGGAGAAGACTCATTTCTCCCAGTTATTCCTAAGTGCAACAGAAGTCCCTGAGTGTAATACAACAGACTACCCGAAGAGGATTCCAGAAGTGTAAAGATGAAGGCAGATTGGCTAGAAATATCAAGACTTGAGGAAAGACAGCTTGGGAGTTCCCTGGGTTTCCTTTTTATTCTCCATATATACAAGTCTGGATTAGATGTTGCCCTGGAAAAGCAACCTCCACCCTCCACCAGGTTTTGACAAAAAGCTCCAGGAAAAGCCTACTTACTGGGAAAGGAAAGGAGTGCACCAACCAGACAAAGCCTCTGTGATAACAGCCACCCTATTTCAGCCGAACACCATCCATGTCTACTCTTGCTTGGACTCCTATCCCCCAATCTGGTGGCAGCTGATGGTGCAAGACAGTGCTCCCCTCTTGTACTGGTTTGGTGCTAGAAGAGACCAAGTGGGAAGTCCGAACTACCCCAACCGAGCAGTAGCAGGGGGTCCTAGGGCAGTGTGGTGCTTCCCTCTCCTGCTGATGTGGTGTTAGCAGAGACTGGGGAATATGGACTTTTATCCCTACCCAGGCGAGAGCAGGTACAAGAGTAAGACCAGGTGATTCAGAACAGTGAGTGGAAAGTCTGAACCTCCATTCCCTGCCCAGGAGTGACAGAGGTATCCCTCACCCTTTTAACTAGAGATTTCCAAGAATACCCAGAGAGGGGGGAACTGGAGAGGGCTGCACAGGAAGTCCCCTGACCAATCCGCATGTAAAATAGGTGAGAATTAATACTCTAACTATTTTGAGACGTGAACTACAGTGTGGAATACCACCCAGGTTTTCCAAGTGGCCTCCAGATGGCCCATAAATGAAGCAGACTAGAATAAATTGCTGAATATCAAATCGTCACTGAACCCCCACCACCAAACTAGGCTGGGAGCTGTGTGTTAAACCCAAACAGAATAACTACTTGGTAAAATGAAAGATTTTATAGGATCCAGAGTCTCTTAATATCCAAATAGGAAACCTGAAAATTACTTGTCATACTAAGAACCAGGAAAATCACAACTTGAACGAGAAAAGCCAATAAATAGATGACAACACTAAGATAACTCAGACTTTGAAAAATATCTCAAAAAATTTAAGGAAACTGGCTCGGCACCTGTAGCACAGTGGTTACAGTGCCAGACACAGACACCAAGGCTGGCTGGTGGGTTTGAACACGGCCAGGACCAACTGCAACACAAAAATAGCCAGGCATGGTGGCAGGCATCTGTAGTCCCAGCTACTGGGAGGCTGAGACAAGAGAATCGCTTAAGCCTAGGAGTTTGAGGTTGCTATGAGCTGAGATGCTACAACACTCTCCCAAGAGTGGCATAGCGAGACTCAGTCTCAAGTGAAAAAAAAAAAAATTTTAAGGAGACTACTATAAAAAGGTTTCAAAGAGCAATGATATTTTACAGAGAAAGAAAAACCCACCTTAAAATTCATACAGAATCTCCAGAGACCTCGAATAGCCAAACATCTTTAAAAAGAACAAAGTTGGAAGACTTACATTTCCTCATTTCAAAACTTGCTACAGGCTCGGCGCCTGTGGCTCAGGCGGCTAGGGCGCCAGCCACATACACCTAAGGTGGCGGGGTCGAACCCAGCCCGGACCCGCCAAACAACAATAATGGCTGCAACAGGAGTTGGAGGTTGCTGTGAGCAGTGAAGCCATGGCACTCTACCCAGGGGGACAGCTTGAGGCTCTGTCTCAAAAAAAAAAAAAAAAACTTGCTACAAAGGTACAATAATCAAAACAGTTTGGTTCTGTCATAAAGATAGACAGATAGATCAATGGAATAGAACAGAGAGTCCAGAAACAAACTATTGTATATATAGTCAAATGTTTTTTGACAAGGGTGCCAAGTCCATTCAGTGGGGCAAAGGACCATCTTCTCAGCAAAAAGTGCTAGAAAAACCGGGTATCTATATGCAAAAAAAGATGAGGTTGTGTATATAAAAATTAAGTCCAAATGGATCAAAGTCCTAAATGTAAGAGCTAAAACTATATAATTCTTAGACAAAAATATAGGTCAAAACCTTCATGACAGTTGGCAAAGATTTCTTACATATGGCACAAAAGGCACAGGCAACAAAATTAATAGATAAACTGGATTTCATCAAAAGTTTATATCAAAGGACACTCTCAAGACAACGAGAAGACAAGCCACAGTACGAAAGAAAATATTCACAAATCATGTTTAGTGAAGGTCTGAAATCCATTATGTACAAAGAACCGCACAACTCAATAACAAACCCCCAAACAATCCAGTTTAAAAATGGGCAAAGGAGGTGAACAGACATTTCTCCAAAGGAATATATGTGAGTAATAAACACACGAAAAGATGCTAATCATTAGGGAAATGCAAATCAAAATCATGAGATACCACTGAATACACACTGGGATGGCTACTATAAAAAACCCAGAAAATAGTAAGTATTGGGGAGGATGTGACAAAATGGCCAGTTCCTCAAAAAGGTCAACAGAGAATTATCATATGATACAGTAATTCTACTTCTAGGTATACCCAAAAGAACTGAAAGCGGGGACTCATATATTTGTACAATGTCCATAGGAGCATTATTCACAATAGCCAAAAGGTGATGAGGAGCCCAATATCCACGGACAAATGGATACACAAAATGTATAACGGAATATTATTCAGCCCTAAAAAGGAATGAAATTCTCATATATACGATAAGGGGTTAAAACACAGATTATAAAGAACTTCTACAACCCAACAACCAAAAACCAAACAACTCAATACAAAAATGGCCAAAAAACTTGGATAATTCTCCAAAGATATATAACTGACAAACAAGCATATAAAAAGATCTAAACATTGTTAATCACTAAGGAAATGCAAATCAAAACCATAATGAAATGTTACCTCACACTTGTCAGGATGGCTACTATCCAAAGAACAGACGATAACAAATATTGAAGAGGATGAAAAAAAAATGAGAACCCTTATGCACTGTCGGTGGGAATGTAAATAGTGCAGCCATTATGGTAAATACCACAGAGGTTCCTCAAAGAACGAGAATTACCGTACAATCTAGAAACTCTACTTCTGGACATGTGTCTGAAATAACTCAGTGACAAAAAAGACAAATTCTACATGATTTTACTCATGTGAAGTAGCTAAAGGAGTCAAAATCATAGCAGCAAAAAGTAGAAAGGTGGTTGTAGGGGGGTGGGGGTGGGGATGGGGATGGGGAAGATGAGGAGGAACTAGTACAATGGGTACAGAGTTTGTTTTGCAAGATGAAAAAGTTCTAGAGATCTGTTGCTTAACAATGAGGATATACTTAACACTACGAAATTATGCACTTAAAAATGGTTTGGACGAGGCAGAAAGAAAGTAAAATAGGGGTCACCAGAGGCTAGGAGAGGGGATAATGAGGAGTCACTATATACTAGGCGGAGTTCCAGTTTGGGAGGATGGCACAGTTCTGGAGAGGTACAGTGATGAGGGCTGCACATCAACGTGAATATCCTTAAAGCAACTTAATTGAACTCTCAAAAATGGTAAAATGATCAATTTTATGGTCAAATGATAAATATACATTATATGTATTTTACCATAATTAAAAATAAACCTCAGGCCAGGCATGGTGGTTCATGCTTATAACCCCAGCACTATGGCAGGCTGGGGTGGGAGGACTGCTTGAGTTCAGGAGTTCAAGACCAGCCAGAGCAAGAGTGAGAGAGACCCTGTTTCTACCAAAAATAGAAAAATACTAGCCTGGTGTGGTGGGTGCCTATCGTTCCTGCTATTTGGGAGGCTGAGGCAGGAGGATTGTTTGGACCCCAGAGGTTTGAGGTGGTTGTGAGCTAGGCTGACACCAGGGCACTCTACCCTGGAGTAACAGAGTGAGACTGTCACAAACAAACAAGCAACTCAGTAGTCAAGGAACCAGCCCTCTAATTAGAAAATGGGCAAAAAAAGGTGAATTGACATTTCAGCAAAGGGTGGAGATGGGTGGGGAAAAAACACACGAAAAGATGTTCACCATTAGCTATTAGGGTAACACAAATTAAAGCCAGAACGGGTAGTGGTCTATGCCACTAACATAACAGCTAAAAGATGTGGTAACATCAAATATTGTTGAGATGTGGAGAAACTGGGTCTCTCCAGAATTTAAAATGGTACAACCTTTCTCAAATACTTTTGCAGTTTCTTATAAAACAGAACATGTACTTATTATATGACCCAATCCTATTCTTGGGCATTTATCCCAGAGAAATGAAAACCCACAAAAACACACAAAAAAGAAAGTAACATAGAAGCTTTATTTGAATTAGCAAAAAAATGGAAAGAACCCAAAAGCCTTTCTAAGGATGAAGGTTTAAATAAACTTTTGTATATGCCTAAAAAGAAATACTACTCAGCAATAAAAAGGAATAAACTATTGATACATACAACAACTTGGATGGATCTCAAAGGATTACACTTAGTGAAAAAAAAAGTAACAGTATTGAAAGGTTACATACTATACGATTCCACTTATACACCTACTACATTCTTAAAATGACAACTATAGAGAGGCAGAAGGGATTAGTAGTTGCCAAAGACCAATGGTAGGGTAGGGTAGGTGTGTGACTGTATAGAGGTACACAAAGATCTTCGTGAGCAGGGAACAGTTCAGTATCTTGACTGTGGTCATGCTTACAGAAAGCTGTACATGGGGTCAAACTGCTGGGAACTACACACACGTGTAAACTCACACAGGTTAATGTAAAAAAAAATGGTGAAAAGTGGGAACACCATATTAACATTACTTTCCTGATTTTGATACTGTACCACATTTGTACATATAAGGTACCCCCATTAGAAGCAGCTAGGTGAAAGGTTCAAGGTACTCTTATGTATCTTTTTTGTAACCTCTTCTGAGTCTCTAGTTCTTTCAAAATTATAAAGTTAAAAAAACTACATGTCCATAAAATAATACATGCTTTACAAAACAGGTAACAAACCCACTGTGGTCCATGGACCAACCCCCAAGCCATGGACCCATAGTGGCCCGAAGCCTGTTAGGAACTCAGCACTGCCACCTGAACCCGGCCTCCCATCCTATCCCTACAACCTCCCAGCTGTGGAAAAATTATCTTTCCTAAAACTGGTTCCTGGTGCCAAAAAGGTTGGGGACTGTTGCTCTAAGGGGAATAGGCAATAAAAGGAAATAAATTGTTAGCACTGCATTGGGCGGCAATGAGAGCGTGCCATAAGATGAGGAATATGAGGACCTCAAAAGAAGCTAACGCAAAGTTGTTTTAATTCTGTACACTAATAAACCTAGGCTATTGACACAGACCATGGATGAAACCCTACCTCAGCCACTTAGTAGCTGCAACTCTGAGCAAGCTAGCAAGCGCTACTCTGCTTCAGTCTTTTTATTTTGTAAAAATAGAAACAAGATAACTCATTCTCAACCTTCAAGAACTAAAGTTAAATGGAAATAATATAGGTAAAGCAGTTATCACAGTGTCTGAGCGCTCAGTAACCAGTTAAATGAAGTTATTACCATTGTAAATGCAACCACCAAAATTACCTTCTACATTAGCTGACAAAAGATATAAAACCTTCTTTATCTTTCCTTCAGCAATTAAGAACTTGGTGAAATCAGACACTGTTTAGCTTTTTCACTGTTGTATCTTGAAGGTTTGCACACAGATATATACTCATCAAGTAAACGAGTAAGTACAAGGTTGAATTTCACCATGTCAGTAAATCTTTACTGTGCCGTTCGACTCAGGTACCTTCATCCTTCATGTTCCGATCGATCTGCGGACCGGCATTCCTTTCCCGGAACTGTATGCCCTGCAGGTGTCTTTGCATGACTTCCTGTATTACTTCAAACAGTGGCTGATCCTGTTTGAGATATTAGATGTTATCTCTGTTAGAAATTACATTTTTTTTATCTTCCATCAAATCTTGCAACTGAAATGATATTAAAATATATACTTCCTTTCAGAGACAGAAACAGGGGTTGGGGTAGGGCTGAGGAAAGAAGCAGCTCTTACACACCAAATAACACAGTTTGGCTTAGGAATAGGTGACATCGATAGTCTTGACTATTCATGCCTGTGACATGAAATAATGTATCATTTTGCTGAAACATAAAAACCAACTTCGTGAGCTTGTATTGTTTCTATTAGAGTGCTTAGCTACTAAATGAACCTAGCTTGTCGTCCAGCATCTGAATTTTTTTTTTTGAGACAGAGCCTCAAGCTATCCCCCTGGGTAGAGTGCCATGGCTTTACAGCTCAGAGCAACCTCCAACTCCTGGGCTCAAGCGAGTCTCCTGCCTCAGCCTCCCAAGTAGCTGGGACTACAGGCGCCCGCCACAACGCCTGGCCATTTTTTTGGTTGCAGCCATCATTGTTGTTTGGCGGGCCTGGGCTGGGGATTTGAACCTGCCACCTTAGGTATATGTGGCTGGCGCCTTAGCCGCTTGAGCCACAGGCGCCGAGCCCAGCATCTGAATTTTAAATTGGCATTGTTATTCTCACTAATCTGCATCCACAGGTCGTGGGAATAAATTATGCTCAAAGGGAGTACTCTTAAATTTGAGGATCTACAACAACTTTGGAAAAGATCTCTAGTGAATGTGTTTTCTTTACCCAAACAATTACTAAATATGATATATAGGATGACATATAGGAAAATATAATTGTATTTTAAAAAATAAGGTAAAGAATGTTAAATAAAAGCAACAGAGTCCTTATAAGTGTATGATGTCTCATTAAAAAAAATTCTGAATAAAATTAAAACTCTACAATGTAAAAATTCTACTGGTAATTAGGTAATTATGAAGCTATGGAAAATTTTTTTGACAAATGATGAGAAAACAAATAGTTATGTGTAAAATAAATATTTGCTTGGTAGGATGAGCCTCTATTCACTTTAATGAATGTCAGTCAATAATAGAAGCCAGGAAAACCATTTTTTGGACAAACGTTCTTTGAAAGTTCATGATATAAATAAACATTACGGGGACACACGAGTAGCTTACATAGATACTACCCCCACAGTCATATATACCAAACAAACTGTAATGCAAAGACAGACCAGGAGAGGCAAAGGAACGGCATCATTGCACATTCTTTTTTTTCAGGCTAGTCAAGTGAAGCAGTGGGAGTGGAGAAAGAACAAAGTAATCTGTAACTGGCTGTGATCACTTAGTTGTAAACACCACTGCCCTCAGACCAGCCATCAATTCTTGATTGGGGGAAAAATACTAAGAAATGTTTGTTCATTCTTCACTGTTCATAAGAAAAGCTCTAAATATCCTGGCTTGGTAGTCAACACTCTCCACAAGCTGTTTCACCCTTTTCATAATCTCTCAGGACCCTGCAGGTGCTCTGAACACAAAGCCGGATCAGACTGAGCACCACATCCCCTGACTGTGCTTCAATCCCATATGTGCTTTACTATTCCTTCCATCTCATGTCTCCTCACAGCCTCCCCATCTCTCCTGAAATCCTACTCACCTTTCAAGACTTATTTAGGTGACATTTTAGGCACTTTCTAAAGTTCTCCCAGAGCCCCACCTTGTATTAGTTCAAACAGTGGCTGATCCTGTTTGAGATATTAGATGTTATCTAATTCTCTCTCCCTCTCAAGGGGCTGCCTAGTACTTCCTCTAAACCTTTTTGCAATGACCACATTTATGTGCAAACCATCCCTTCTACCACGAGGAGAACTCTTGGAGCAATGAGCAAGTCTTATCTCTGCAATGCCTCACAGCACCAGCAGGTGCAAATAACACTGATATTTGAATAATTCTTATGATTAGGATTCTTAATTATATTTATTTTTATATTAGATGCTAAAAGTTATTTTTCAGGAATAAGTATTTAAAGAAATGATTGCTACCTGTATGCCAGCAGGCAAAGGAGCAGAATCATCTGTAGGATACATTCTGGATACCGGGCACCTGAGGATGTCAAGACCATTGGGAACCATTCTGCAGTAATCTTGAATACACTGCAGCCACCACCACACAGCATCCCGGCAATTGTATCTGGCATGCGTTCCTTCACCGAGGAGATTAGGAATGAGACCATGCCTCAGGGTACCAGCAAATGCTAAAATAATATTCCTAAAACAACAGAATAACACAGATCATTTGAAATGACAGGAAACACTTAAAAAATTAAAGACAAAACCCAGCCACTTTTGGTAACAATATTGTGGATGCATTTTCCTCTCCTACCCTCTTTCCTTTACATTTTCATGTAGAAAGTACTCTTATGATAGAACAAGCACTAAATTAAAGTAAGAAGCCTTGACTCCAGCCTAGGATTTTTCACTAATAATCTGGGCAACATACTTTTTCTGGTATAGTTTTTTCATCTGTGGAGTGAGGGACTAAACTGGATGATTTTTAAGGTCCCTCAATGCTCTGGATTCTACTTTTGAAATTTATAGTATTTCAAAATCTAGTGACTACTAAATGTGAACTTTATTATTATGTTTTAATAGAGACAGAGTCTCACTTTGTCGCCCTTGATAGAGTGCTGTTGTATCACAGCTCACAGTAACCTCCAGCTCTTGGGCTTAGGTGATTCTCTTGCCTCAGCCTCCAGAGTAGCTGGGACTACAGGCGCCTGCCACAACGCCTGGCTATTTTTTTGTTGCAGTTCGGTCGGGGCCGGGTTGGAACCTGCCACCCTGGATATATGGGGCCTGGGCCCTACTCACTGAGCCACAGGCACCGCCCTGAACTTTATTATTTTAAATACATGTAAAAGAAAGCAAGAGCAGAACAAACATAAGAAAACAAATTAGAAGTTGATCTTGAAAAATAGAATTCATGTTGAAAAGCTGGTTATTTGTTGTAAAGTATTATTCTACTTTAGTAAGAGAGTATGACCGTCTAGTAAGAGCATGAGATTAAGAACCAAAGCTGAGGCTCGGTGCTGGCAGCACAGTGGTTATGCTACCAGCCACATACACTGAGGGTGGTGGGTCCGAACCCAGTCTGGGCCTGCTGGACAACAATGACAACTGCAACAAAAAATAGCCGGACATTGGGGTGGGCGCCTAAAATCCCAGCTACTCAGGAGGCTAACGCAAGAGACTCTCTTAAGCCCAAGAGTTTGAGGTTGCTGTGAGGTGTGACACCATAGCACTCTACCGAGGGTGACATAATGAAATGCTGTCTCAAAAAAAAGAAAAGAAAAGAAAAAGAATTAAAGCCGAAGTCTAAATCTCCTAGGTTTGTCATCTCCATGACCTTGGAAAAGTCATTTAAAATGTCTAAACCTTAGTGCTTTCTGATTAAACCCTTCAGAAATTTTGTTAATTCTATGCCTCAGCTTATTACCCTTTAAATAATAATAATGTAATAGGAAAGTTTATTTTCTATGCTTCCAGCTAATAAAAGATCAGAGGACTACCAATCTTAACCATCTGGAACAATGTTATACGCGTGAATTAAAAACTGTTCTGATTCTGAATACCACTCTAGAGGGAGGAAGCAGAACCACCTGCGGTGATGATACACATCCACCAAAATGGGCTTCCTATATCACTCAGCCACACTTAAGAGTTGGTTGTGGCCGAGGGACTGTATTCCACGCCGCAGAATGAGAAGGGAACTGATACATGTTCAGGGTATGGAAAGCAAGTGTCTCCCCAGGCTCTTTCCCTCTCTGCCAGCTGCCTGAAGAGGACACGGAAGCCCTGGAAGATGACAGAGCCTCAAAGTAGAAGGAACTTACATCACTGAATCACTACGTGGCAAGGTGCCTACTGACTACAGGCAAGGAATAAATTTTCTTCGTGAAAACCTACTGAAATTTAAGTGTTTATAATTTATAACAGTAAGTACTAACCTAACAAATACGTTATCCTCTGGGAATCATCTAGATCAGGGAGGCAAATGTTTTCTATAATTGATCATACAGTAAATGTTTTAGGCTTTGTGGAGCCATATATGGTCTTTGTCACATATTCTTTTTTTAAAATAGGACTTTAATAATGTAAAAGCTATTCTTCGCTCACAGGTTATATAAAATAGGTGACAGGCCATGATCTAGACAGCCATATGTAAAGTTAAGAAGCAGAAATCTGTGATGGTGCACAGAGTGAAAAATGGGAAGGCCAATAACAACAAGAGTGATAAAAACTAACATTTATGGAACGCTTAGCATGTGGCAGATACTGTATTAGACATTTTAACTGTGTTAGTGCACTCAGTCCTCACAACACCCTGTAAGGTATGTACTTAGAACCACTTTATAGAGAGCACGACGAGAGTCATTAATCTCTCGGCTGGTAGTTTGGAACCTGGATTAAAAGCTGGCAATCTGACCTGCAGCCCAAGGTCTTAACCACTGTGTACTATGAGGAATACTGATGTTCCACTTCTTACTTCTAAATCAGTCATGTAGGAGCATTTAGGGAAGAGGAAAACAGCCTTCCAAATTTCTGTAGTCCTACAATGATAACTTAATAAGAAAAGTTCTTATTGTATATTATGTTAGCAGGAAAAAAATGCAGTTCATTTCAGATGCCCACCTAGAAACTTCGAGTTTAAAAGGATCAAAAATAACACTTTTGGTGTATAAAAAAAAGCAACTTGCAGTTATTCTCTTGATGGCATCAGAACGTGTCATGTAAATTCTTTTTTGCTACAACTTTTATTTTTTGTTTAAGGAGATAGTGTCTCACTATAGTAGAACCTCCATAGTTGACCACCTCTCTACAATGACCACCTCCATAAGCCTACCTAACTTTCCTAGACCAGACATGCACCACAAGTATGTATTGGTACAGTAGGCCTAGTTCCTTATGCTGACCACCTCTGTATGTTGACAAGTTTGTTACAGTGGGTGGGGGGGCAATGTACTACTATATGTTACCCAGGCTGGTCTGAGACTCCTGGGCTCAAGTGCCCCTCCTGCCTCAGCTTCCTGAGTAAGTGGGACTTCAGGCATGTGCCATCACACCCAGCTTGCTAAGTTTTTTTAACTGCTGAGTGGTATTTTGATGCTTTTTCCTTAGTCTGTTGATAACCATCTGGAGACCTTGTGAATACAGATTTCTGACCATGAGCATCACACACCCCAGCCTCAGGTTTGGGTTCAGGAGGTCTGGCATGAGGACTAAGAACCTGCGTTCCAAGCTCTCAGGTGATGATGACACTACTGATTGGTGGAACACACTTTGAGTGGCACCACTACAGAGCTTTTCAACCTCTAATAAATTCATTCATACTATTGTGACATAAGAAAACACCATTTTAAGTCTAGAAAATATAAAACTGTAGCTTATAAGGTCTGATAACAAATAGAGGAAAACCTGATATTATAATTCTTTCCATAAGACTCAGACAAAGATCTAGCAAGAGCTAGAACTTCTTCATTATAGAAGAATGAAGTGGTTACAGAATTTTTAGTTTTATTGAAATTAGCTAACACTAAAAACAACCAGACCTGTAATGTGAAGAACTAGAACTTAATAACGTCAAGGATTTTCAACCTTCTGAAATTCTATTATCTTATTAATCAACAATATGAAAAATAAAATAAAACACCTAAAGGAAAGATACTCCCAAATGTTGTTGAGAATCGATGGATGAGAAAGTAAGTTTGACAAGCATATAAAAAACATTCAGATATAAACTTGGCATAGGAATAGTTTAGAAATTCTCCTACCTGGCCTCTAGATAGCGTCCAGTAATCAGCAGTGTGCCTCTAAGTGCAATAAAAGTATCCCTTCCCCAGCAGCGGAAAAGACCAGAAGAAAAATGAGGCAAGCCTAACAGAAAACACAACAAAGTAATATGTTAATCATAATAATGCACACAAACCTATGAACTCCATTACTATAAAAAATAGTTGCCCTAAACCTGGGGTAATAAGGATGATTTTTAAGGAGTCTGAAAACTCCCCAATTTTTTTGAGACAGGGTTTTGCTCTATTGCCTGGGCTAGAGTGCAGTGGCATCACCATAGCTCACTGTAACCTTAAACTTCTGGGCTCAAGCAAGCAGTCCTTCTGCACAGATGTGCACCACTGTGCCTGGATAATTTTTCTTTCTTTCTTTTTTTGTAGAGACAGCGTCTCATCATGTAGCTCAGGCCAGTCTCAAACTCTTGACCTCAAGTGATCTTTCTGCCTGGGCCTCCCAAAGTGCTAGAATTACAGGCATCAGCTACCATGCCCGGCTAACCCCCTATAATTAGGTGAAAAATGCACCACTATATTTACGTTTTATCATTCTAAATGAAAAAATAATTTCTATTTGTGTTGTTGGGTATCAGCAAGTCTTTTTATCTGGTCTAGGCAGGTAAGAAATTAAGGGTAATCAGGAAATCACAAAGGTAATTCTATTACTTTCTTCCTGTGACTTGACATTTTTGGTTTAGTTTGGAAAGTTCTAAATTTCAGTGGCCTCAAATACTAAGCACTTTCTAGAAATAAGCTGATAATGTGTTAGAAAGAAAACAAAAGCCTATCTTTAGCCTGTTTCCTTACTTGGATTTGTTACTTAATTCAGGTTTTAAATCTACTTGGCAGAAATGATGCCAATAAATATAGTTGAAAGCTGCCTATAATCCCAGCTACTCAGGATGCTGAGGCAAGAGGATCCCCGAAACCCAAGAGTGTGAGGTTGCCAGGAGCTATGATGCCACAGCTCTCTATGCAGGGTGACAGAATGAGACTGTCTCATATATACACTATGTCTATATATAGTGGAAAGCATTTGATTGCAATTAGACACATAATAAAAAATCATTTGACATTAGTTTTATGTTTTAAAACTTGTAGAGGACCTTTACATGATCTTTTGTAATGACAAGGTTGGGCTTCTTTTTAAAAATTGGGGGGAAAATATGATACCGGAGAAAGAATATGTAAAATAAATTTGATTTAAAAAAATAGAACATGGCAAGAATTGGAATAGAAACATGCAAAAGAAAAGAATTAACCTGCAACAATAAAAAACACACACAATGCCTGGTGCACAGCTATAATTAAATAGTAAGTACGGCTATTATTTTTTTGAGTCACTATGAAATTTACTAAGTGGTAACATAAAATCTTGGACAACGTTACAGGCTTTTAAAAAGTAATCGCTTTCCCTTAACTTTTTCTCTGTGAATACTACTAACTTAACCTCGTAATGGTTTCTTACCTGCGGCCAGAGAAACGCAGCATTGCTCCTTTTCTTTTGTGATTTCATTTAGCCTGTACGGTACATCTACAAGTGAAGGGGAAAGGAGTGGCAGAGAAGGGAATTTTCCCACTCCACACATTTGAACTGAACCCAGCGAAAGGTGTTTCACAAAGGTCGAACCATTCTGAACAAAGCTGCAACAAAAGTGATGGAGTTTAAAATACTATTTGCAGAAAAACCAAACTTTTCAGCAGTTTTATTCTACTGGGTTTCTTTCCTTAAAATGACTTTTCTACACAAATAACAGTAATACTAGTTGGAAAAAATTTTCAATTTGGTTAGATTTTAAAACTGCTTTCATTTTACCCATTATTTCAGCTGGATTTTTTTTTTTTTTTTTTTTTTTTTTGCAATTTTTGGCCAGGGGTGGGTTTGAACTCGTTACCTCTGGCATATGGGGCTGCCACCCTACTCCTTTGAGCCACAGGTGCTGCCCCTCAGCTGGCTTTTAAGTCCATTGCTGTAAACCAAATGGTGGAGTTGTAGTTTTGTTCTGTCTGAAATTATACCCTAATCAATTTGGTAGTTCTCACTGGTATGCTTCAATTTGTGGTTTAATTGTAGGGAAATTCATCGTTAAAAACAAATTTCATTCATAATACCAGAATATTTTTTTTCTGTTAATTGATTGAAAATTGTGTATGTGTAATCTAAAAATTGTATCAAATAACTTAGTAAGTCCGTGTATACATAGAAATAAAATTAAACGATTTAATTTTCCTATCAAGATGTTTTCTTAGCTTTTAGAACAGATTTTAATATTTAAATTAGGTTTTGCATGCTACACAGTAAGGATGCTAATACATTTATTATATGCTAAAGACTTTTTCAGCTCAATGAGTCTATGGTAATTCCTCATGTTTTAATCTTTTAAGAGCGTGTAGAAAGTGACTCTATATGTGGTTTCTATACAAACATAACTAATTACTTAAGCTTTGCTAGATATACCTTGACATCTGCTTCCATGCTATATCCAGAAGAGTGGTATATGCACCAATTAATATAGCATCAAAGTAACATGGGATAAGGTAACGTGGGATCTGCTTCAGGTAGAAGAACATGGCCTGCAACCATTTGCCAACCTGTTATAAAAATAAATTTAAAAGTTAATTTGGTATGTGTACACAGTAGGTGTGTTTTAAGAGATAAAATCTAAACATGTAGCTTCACTACCTAGTAATCTATCAACCGGATGTCTATTTATTAAAACTGAAAGATGATGAAGAAAGGAAGAAAATGGTTCAGATTAGAAAGCAACATAAATATTATATATAACATGGTAATATGATTCTTATTAGGCCTTTTCTTTTTTTTAAGACTAGAATATAGCTCTACTTACCTCAGCAATAGTTCCTGATCTTGAAATGAGCCGGCTACTGACATAGTCAATCATCCAATCTCCAGATCTCAAATTATCACAAAAAGGATGCCCCAGGTCATTCTTTGGTCTTATTTCTGCCAGTACAGACATTAATCCTGAAATTTCAGAGATGAGTCATACTGTATTACTGACAGAGGCAATTTATCCCCAAAGCTTCTAGTCTCTACTCTGCACCAATGATTTGGGGTAAACATAAAGTGGCAGACACAAGAACAGCAGAGTCCACAATGGCACTTCACATGGTTGGACATAAATGTGACAATGCTGGTTTGAACCAGGACACAAAGCCACAATGAAGGGGACTACTGTCGTAAGAGCTATGCAGAGCTTTCCAAGGTTCATAACTTAAGGGACTGGGTTCATTCCTTTGGACTTTAATGTTATTATATTCAAAGGCAGTTGGCATGGTTTCCCTGCCCTAAGGCATTTAGGAAAAGGAAACTGGTAAGTCTGTGTATTTTCATGTTTAAATGTGGTAGATTCCCTCATACTCAGGCAAGATTTAAGGAAATGACAGAACTGGTTTCAGAGAGTAAGAACACCTGTGGAGGTGATGAGAGTAAAACATGCTTGGGAAGGAATCTTTGTAATATAACAGAAGGTAACTGGAAGTCAAATTCCTATCCATACATAACAGATTTTATGATTTCTTTTCTTTTCTTTCTTTCTCTTTTTGTTTTTTCTTTTGAGACAGTCTCACTCTGTTGCCCAGGCTACAGTGCTGTGGCGTCAGCTTAACTCATAGCAACCTCAGATTCCTGGGTTCAAGTGATCTTCCTGCCTCAACCTCCTGAGTAGCTGGGACTCCAGGTGCTGGCCATGACATCCACCTCATTTTTCCTTCTATTTTTAGTTGAGATGGGGTTTTACTCCTGCTAAGGCTGGTCTCAAACTGCTGAGCTCAAGGGGTCCTTCTGCCTTGGCCTCCTAGAGTTCATAGGCATGAGCCACTGGGCCCAGCAGATTTTATTATTCCAATGACATACCCATAGTACTTCTTTCGTCATTCACTAAATAATAATTATTACCCTTAGAAAATTATATGACTTTGCTGATTTCATTTCGACTAAATTTATGTATTTACATTTTATAGCATTGTTTTGAAAAATTAAAAAATAAGCTTAAGATAATTTCTTACCCAATCTTGTCTTTGGGACACAAAGCTTACCACATGAAAAAGCTGGAAAACAGACAGTATAAAATAATGTTCTACGTAAGCACTAGCATTTCCATGGAAGGTGCATAATGCTTAGGGATGCCAGTGCCACTGCTGCATAATGGGACATCACGATGAAAACAATGTTTTAGAAAACAGTTCTGATGACGACCTATAGAATGGAGTGATTTATGGTAACAAGGGTTGGAAAACTGTTTACACAATCCTAGAATAAGATGATAACTCTGGGAATAAAAAAGATGTGGTGTATCAAAGAAAACAGAAAAAAAATCAAAAACTTCTAATTACTGACTGAATGCTAAGGATGCAAGGGGAAGATCCCAAAACATACTCCTGTATTCCAACATGATTAAACGTACAATACAGTAAAATGTAGGCAAGTGAATTTTGTTTAGAGGAGAGAAAGGACAAAGAAGTGGCTAAGTGTGATTTAATCTGATGTTACTATTAACGGCCTGCAGGGAGTAATTTGTGGGCTGATGAAAACAGTAAGCTATCAGAGGGAAAAGAGATGGATATAAGGTAAAAAATAAAGTAAAAAAAATGAGCAGAATCATTTCATGAGGAGGATAAACAGAATTAGTAAAGAACCAGATTTAACTTTTTTTTTTTTTTTTTTTTAAAAAGACAGGCTAGGAGCAGTGCCTGTGGCTCGAAGGAGTAGGGTGCTGCTGGCTCTATATGCTGGAGGTGGCAGGTTCAAACCCAACCCTGGCCAAAACTGCAAAAAAAAAAAAAAAAAAAAAAACAGGCTAGAAAAGCAGCTCACCAAAGTATGGTCCTTTCAGTCAAGTAAAGAGAATTCAACAGAGTGAAAAAGGAGTAGATATGGTTGCTTAAAACTGGTGACATGTACACTTCTTCATCACTCACAGCACAAAACATTGCTCTTAGAAAAAAACGCTCAAAGGTTTAGCGTTTAAAAGGTGTTAGAAAAAAACGTTCAAAGTACAAAAGTCTCAAAGAAGTTTATTGAGACCTTTTTATGTGCTTGGCTTTGTAAAAGGTCTAATATAAAAGTTAAAAGACAAGTACCACAGAGAAGATGAAACCTCCTTCTTTCTCAATATACAAAATCGACTTAGTGGAGTTTTAAAGCTGACAGTTTCCAAGTGCTTTACATGTGTTAATTTATTTAATCCTAACCATAATCCCCTGTGGGAGGTACCATTATCATCTCCATTTTAATTGAGAAAATTGGGCCATGGAGAGCTTAACTACACCCAGGTTATACAGCTGACCTAGGAAGTCTGGTTTTTAATCCTATTTCTTAACCACAATGATAAAGAATCACAAAAGGCTGGATGTGGTGGCGCAGACCTATGATCTTAGCACTCTGGGAGTCCAAGGGAGGAGGATTGCTTGAGCTCAGGAGTTCAAGACCAACCTGAACAAAAGCAAAATCTGTCTCTACTAAAAAAAAAAAAAAAAAATTAGCCAGGTGCAACAGTGTGCTCGGGTAGCCCAGCTCTCTGGAGGCTGAGGCAGGAGGATCCCTTAAGCCCAGAAGTTTGAGGTTGCAGAGAGTTATGATGCCACTGCACTCACCCAGGGTGACAGCAAGACGGTCTCGAAAAAAAAAAAAAAAAAAAAAGACAAGAAAAAGAAAGAAAAAATAACACAAAAATTATACTAATTACCAAAATAAGGTAATAAATACATATTTCAAGGGTCAAGTAAAAGGTATGATAACAAAAACCACAATGAATGTCTGGAGGACAAAGAAATTACTGTCAAAAGAAATAGTTAAGAAACGATTTATGGAAGATGTAAGAATTAAATTAGCCCTTAAAGATGAGCTAGATGGACAAAAAAATAACAAATTGTAAAGGAGGCATGATAATTGGGAAACTATATGAACCAGGAATACAGATGTGATAAAGCTAATTTCTTAGGTAAGTATTTAAGAAATCATTACCAACTAGATGGATCAAACTGACAGTTAAATATTTAGACCCTTTAACTCATGTTACAACTACTCTAACTACATAGTATTTTATTGTAAGTTCTCTTTACAGGATAAAACTAATATACAACCAAAAATTCCAATTAGATGGAAAATAGATGACTAGTATATTTATAACCTAAAGTCTCACTTGGGGCCCAAACAAATATATTCTGTTTCTTGTTATATATAATAAAGCTGATCAAGAAACATTAATTATAGGGCAGTGCCTGTGGCTCAAAGGAGTAGGGCGCCGGCTCCATATACCGGAGGTGGTGGGTTCAAACCCAGCCCCTGCTGAAAACTGCCAAAAAAGAAAAGAAACATTAATTAAGGTCAAATTGTATATAATGAGCTATAAATGACCTTAGCAGATGATAGAAAACTGGTAATTCTAGGTAACACTGATTACTTTGTGCCACATGATGCTTTTAGTGTTTTACGTGGTCTTATTTAATCCTCCCCAAAGCCTTCTAAATTAGATAATACTCTTTACATATTATAGAGGTAGAAGTTGGGGCACAAAGTGGTTATATTACTTGCCAAAGGTCAACTAAGGAGTAAAAGGCAGAGCCATAATTTAGACCCCAGCCGTCACACTCTGAGCCCATACTAGTTGTACAGGAAGTTCTATAGGAAGATACCAGATGACCCTAAGAGAAAAACACAAAGCCTACCTAGCAATCCTACTCGCTTACCTTGGAGACCTGCGTATTTAAGGGCTGACCAATTTGGTATGTTATAGCACCCTCCACCATCTTCCTGTTCTTCTGATTCACATCGGTATAGTACTTGATTCAGTTCAGCCAAAGTTAATTTAGAGGCAATACTAAGAATTGAAAAATAAAGATAACTGATTAAGTATACTGAAATTTCACTTGCTATTAATAGAAACAAAAAAATAATATTTGAATTATGATTATAAAATGTCCTGTTAATATTTTAGGAACTCAACATTCAAATAAACATAAGCAACATATATTATAAATAATAATTATTTGGGCAAAACATGCCAAAAATTCAAGGAATTAATCAAATGCCAATTTTTTTAAATTTAAATTTATTTTTAGAGATGGGACCTCACTCTATTGCCCAGGTCGGAGTGCAGTGGCACAATCATAGGTCACTGCAGCCTTGAACTCCAGGCTCAAGTGATTCCCCTGCCTTAGCCTCCCAAGTAATGGGACTATAGGCACCCACCACTATGCATGGCTATCTGACAATTAAAATTGTTTTTGTTGTTGATATAGGGTCTCACTATGTTGCCTGGGTTGATCTTGAACTCCTGGCCTCAAGCATTCCTCCTGCTTTGGTCTCCCAAAGTGCTGAGATTACAGGTGTGAGCCATCATGCCTAGAGAAGTGCCAAATTTTATTGATTAGAAGTACGTTGGAAAAATCTTTTGGATGCTGTATCTTTTACTTTTTAAGAAATCTTTCTATTTTGGACTTAGTTTTTCTCCTCCTTTGTATTCTAAGTGAGACATCAAGAACTTTTTATGCTAGTTCTCCTAAATTCAAAATACTTAATAAAGGACCCATAAAGGGATCATCAAAAGTCAAAATTAATCACCTAAGAAATTGTGTGGTCTCAGGTGGGGCAGGGAAGCTCATGCCTATATTCTTGACACTCTGGGAGGCTGAGGTGGATGGATTGCTTGAAGTCAGAGATTCGAGACCAGCCTGAACAAGAGTGAGACCCCATCTCTACTAAAAACAGAAAAATTACCCAGGTGCTGTGGTGTACCTATAGCTCTAACTACTCAGGAGGCTGAGGCAGGAGGATCGTTTGAGCCCAGAGTTTGAAGCTATAGAAAGCTAAGATAATGCCACAGCACTCTACCTGGGGCCATGGAGAGAGACTGTCTTAAAAAAAATCATGTGGTCTGACTTTGTATTTCCCTCCAGTTCCTTCTCTCCTCTTCTAAGGTTGCACTTCCCCTAGAATTTTCTTTATTAAAGAACCAAGATTTTCCCAGATGAAGATGCTTCTTGCTAGTGGTCAGACAGAAGTAACTACTATGGCTTTGATTTTCCAGGGTTCACTTAGCAGTAAGATCGTATAACTGACCACACCTAAATACAACTGAAACTGTACTTTCTTATGCTTCTAGCTGCCAGGACATTTCATTTTACACAACTGACATTTTATGTGGAAACATATCCTCTTACACTTCCTTATTTCTCTTTAGTTCCTTCTCAGCTTAGAAAGTCATTGTCAGCTATGCTTTGTTCCCACCACCTTGCTGCCATGCAGGGAGGGGAATCTGCAGCCTTACAATTTCAAGATTGCTCTTTTTTTAAGCATGAAAAGTGGCAAGAAAAGTTTCATCTTTCCCTGCCATACCCCTTTTAATAAAATAATTTGTGCTGTAAAATTAGGTTCAGTCACAAGGCTGCACTTAAGGATCTAGAAGCCTACATGTGGCTTTACGGCTGCAGGTTCCCCACCCATATAAGCCAATGGACTGTTTGTAGAAAAATTACCCAGGGAGCTTATTAAAATGCAGATTCTTGGCCTTGCCCTAAGATAATGTGAAGTGTAGTGAGGAAAGTACACTTTTTAAGTATCCCAAAGAAACATAAGCCTGCTCCATCACAGATTTTTTTTTTAGAATGTAATTACTTACTAATAATAATCTGAATTAAGAGTTAATATCCAATAAAAGGCCTTATAAAACAACAAAAATTGAACACTGTAGAAAAATGGGCTAATACATAAAATAAATGGCCAATGGACCAAAAAAGATTAGCTTAACTAATATTTAAAGTAAATTAAATGTGGTGTTATTTTAAAGTAGTTTCTATTTACCAATTTGATTATTAATACTTACTACTTAATAACTTACTAGGTACCAAATACTGTTCTAAGTGTTTACTGAAGGAATCTTCACAACTCTGTCTGAGGTACTACAATTGCATCTATTATAACTTGCCCATGGTTTTCTTATAGCTAGTGAGAGCCTGATCATGAATTCAAAACCAGTGTATTATTATGATTTTTTTAATATATTAGTTTTTGTCTATGGATCCTGGCTCCTAACTACAATCCTCCTTGTTATAATGCTGGAGCATTTGAGGCCTCAGAAGTAGCCTCCAGAAACAGAAGCTCTCTCCTGACTTTCTGTCTTCCTGTTTCTACTTGCCCAAGGCAAATCTCTAATCTAATTGTGGGTCAAAGACCCCATTCCAGAAAGGATCCTGCTCTGTGCTCTGGGAACAGGAAAGCTGCATGGAGAGGCAGGAAGAATCTAAACAGATAGGCCTTCGTGGGTTTGGATCTTATGCTTTTTGTACAATCACATTTCTACACAGTTGTCACTCATGCCTGTATAATGAAGCCTCCATAACCCCCAGAGGACAGGGTTCCCAGAGCTTCTCGGTAGCTGATGCATGGAGGTCCCTGGAGGATGGTGTGCCCAGGGAGGTGTGGAGCCCGGTGTCCATTTCCCCGTAGCTCAACCCGTACATCTCTTCATCTGTATCCTTTGTAACATTCTTTAAAATAAACCAGTAAATGTGTTTCCTTGAGTTCTGTCAGGTGCTCCAGCAAATTAACTGAACCCAAAGAGGGGTCATGGGAACCCCAACTTGAAGCTGGTCGGTCAGAAATTCCAGAAGCCCTGACTTGCGACTGGTGACTGAAAGGTGGCAGGGGCAGGTTTGGAAACTGAGCCCTCACTCTATGGCAGCCCATGCTACCACCAGGTAGAGAGTTGAATTAGAGGACACCCAGCTGGTGTCTGTCGTTTGATGTGTAGGGGAAAAAACACATAACAGAAGTCTTCTGTGTTGATTGGTGTGGTGTGAGAACAGAGGAAGAAAAACTAGTTTGAATGTTTCCAAAACACTCAGGTAGTTGTTTCTTTACTTCATGCTCTTAAATACCAGGTTATATAATAAAATACACTCAGTATTAGTAAGGATGGAAACTCTCATGTAGAGCTGAAAGTATTAATTAATATAATCTTCCTGGAGGGAACCAGAACATATTAAAAGCCTCAAATATATGAATGTAATCTAATAAAAAAAATTCCACTTCTGTAAATTTACTAGCACCAAGGATAGAAAACACGTATCTGATATTTACCATGTGCCAGGCATTGTGTTAAATGATTTATATGTTATCCTTTTTAATCCACACAAAACCTAAGAGGCAGTTACTAGTACAAGCCCAATTTTCCAGATGTAAAACTGAGATGAATAAAGTTTTAAAGAATTTGTCCAAGATCATATTGATAATGATGAGGCTGAAGTTAAACCCATGTCTAAATCTTAAAATTCATATTCTTTGACAAAGGTTTAATAACCAGAATCCACAGAGAACTCAAACATATTATCAAGAAAAGAACAAGTGATCCCATCTCAGGGTGCACAAGGGACTTGAGAAACTTCTCTGAAGAAGACAGGCGCACAGCCTACAGACACGTGAAAAAATGCTCATCATCCTTAATCATCAGAAAAATGCAAATCAAAACTTTTGCATATCAATACTTTGAGATATCATCTAATTCCAATGAGATCAGCCCACATCACAAAATGCCCAAACCAGAGATGTTGGTGTGGATGTGGAGAAAAGGGCACACTGCTAGACTGCTGGTGGGAATGCAAACTAATATGTTCCTTTTGGAAGGATGTTTGGAGAACACTTAGGGATCTAAAAATAGACCTGCCATTCAATCCTACAATTGCTTTACTAGGTACACTAGGTATATATCCAGAAGACCAAAAATCACAGTATAACAAAGATATTTGTACCAGAATAAATATTGTAGCCCAATTCATAACTGCTAAGTCATGAAAGAAGCCCAAGTGCCCATGGACCCACGAATGGATTAATAAATTGTGTTATATGTACATCATGGAATATTATGCAGCCTTAAAGAAAGATGGAGACTTTACCTCTTTCATTTTACATGGATGGAGCTGGAACATATTATTCTTAACAAAGTATCTCAAGAGTGGAAGAAAAAGTATCCAATGTACTCAGCCCTACTATGAAACCAATTTATAGCTTTCATATGAAAGCTATAACCCAATTATAGCTCAAGAAGAAGGGGAAAGGGGAGAGGGAGGGGAGGGGAGGAGGGAGGATGGGTGGAGGGAAGGGTAATTGGTGAGACCACACCTGTGGCGCATCTTACAAGGATACATGTGAAATTTACTAACCGTAGAACATAACTGTCTTAACACAATAACTAAGAAAATGCTGTGAAGGCTATGTTAACCAGTTCGATGAAAATATTTCAAATTGTGTATAAAACCAGTACATTGTACCCCGTGATTGCATTAATGTACACAGCTATGATTTAATAAAAAGAAAAGAAAAGAAAAGAAAAATTCATACTCTTTGGTACTATGCATTGGCACCTAGCAAGTGAATAATTAAGGATTTATGCAAAGATGAATGTACAAAGACGTAACAGAGGGAATAATAAGCAATCTAGGTGTCCAAAAAATGGAGACTGGTTAAATAATAGCGCAGCCATAGGGTAGAATATGTTAACAATTTAAAACATGATATGGTAAAAGGTATGATGCAACTTAGTCCCAAATCCCAAATAGTTCAGAGAAATTGTCTGTGTGTGTGTGAGTGTATACAGACAGATGCAGACGTGTGTTGTGTGTGTGTGTGTGAGTGTATACAGACAGATGCAGACGTGTGTGTGTTGTGTGTGTGTGAGAGTGTGAGTGTATACAGACAGATGCAGACGTGTGTGTGTGAGTGTATACAGACAGATGCAGACGTGTTGTGTGTGAGTGTATACAGACAGATGCAGACGTGTGTGTGTTGTGTGTGTGTGTGAGAGTGAGTGTATACAGACAGATGCAGACGTGTGTGTGTGAGTGTGAGTGTATACAGATAGATGCAGACGTGTGTGTTGTGTGTGAGTGTATACAGACAGATGCAGACGTGTGTGTGTTGTGTGTGTATGAGTGTATACAGACAGATGCAGACGTGTGTTGTGTGTGTGTGA